GCCCCCCCCCCCCCCCGCAAACACCTTGCAGGGGCCTCTTCTAATGCCAATAATTTAAGGAACGAGTCAATTTTAAATTCATCTACCATTATATAATTGTCATTTTTACATCTTGTTAAATCCAACTCTGAGCCTTCTACGGTTTCTTTCTTAACACCGAATCAATCAAACCGACTTTAAATGTAAAGCCTTCTCCCCCGCCCCCCCCATAACGTCTATTGACTTTGGTATCTCAGCACTTAAAAAAGAATAAGGAATTCCTCAAACAAGTTTTTCAAATACAGAACTGTGGGAAGGAAAAGATCAAAGAACAATAATAAGCAGTCTAACCTAATAAGTTATATTGATCAGTAAGCTGTATCTCTTCCCCATCTGAAAATGCACTAATGAGAAGCAGCACTGGTTGATCTTGAAACACTTTGAAACGGTGATAGGCTCATATAGAAAGTTAATGAAGCAAAGGACATGCCTCAAATGCTGTGCAAAAATAATTCTGCCAACTTCTTTGGTTTACTAATTAGTAATACATTTTGTATCTTGGAGCCCCAAGAAGGTCTAAATGACTGAGACATTAATATAATGAATGGAAAAGAAGCAGGGAAGATAATTTGTCCCTATCGACCTCGAATTAATAAAAGCATCTGACTAGAGTTAGCCCATCTCAGCATGTACTGGAGCTGAAGCTAAACCTGACGTAGGACCAGTGTCAAAGATAAGAATTAAGAGCCAAAGAGTAGGTCATAACCACTAGCAGTCAACCAAAGGGGGGGTTTAGGTATATTTAAGGACTCTGGAGGTCTTGACGGATCAACAATGAACATAACAGGACCCGATAGGTCCCTGTTTCCATTGTATTGCGGCAAAAATACACCAGAGTATTTTTTAGCATATGTTTGCAACAACATTTACAAGTTCACACAAATACGAATTCCACATAAAACTTACCATAACTTCCGGTCACGTTGGCACATATCACAGCCCCAAAGAAGTTTGGAAAATACTTCTGAATTCTTGAAACCACTTTCCGGCAAGCTACGGTTGGATCTTCTCCTCCTCTCATATACTCTACAGCCTGGTAGCTGGTTTAAACAGAGGCGAAACTTAAGCATCACAGAACAAAGTCCAAGGGTGTTAACGCGAAGTTAAGACACCTAAAACCATCCGAGCTGTCACATGTGTGATGAAATACATACAGAGAAGTTGGTAGCACCTGTGAAAGCATCAACACGAAAGGAAGTAAACCTTGACCCCATGTCTGTCTTTTCAGCTAATCTGTCCCTCAATTTCAGATGAGGACTATTATCTTCGGCTCTGGCTGAGTAACTGCTACCCAGTAACAACAGCCAGAAGTGATAAAAAAAAAAAAAAAGAGAGGTTGTATTTATTTATTTATTTTTTTTTTTTTTTAAATTTTTTTTTTCAACGTTTTATTTATTTTTGGGACAGAGAGAGACAGAGCATGAACGGGGGAGGGGCAGAGAAAGAGAAGGAACCACAAGAAGTCGGAGCTGGGCTCCAGGCTCTGAGCCATCAGCCAGAACCCTGGCGGGCTTCGAACTCCACGGACCCTTGAGATCGTGAACCTGGCTGAAGTGTTAACCATTCATGAAAACCCGAAGTGTATTTAAACAGGAAATGGGGCTACAATCAGTGGGGGAAGTACTGGGCATGTGCAAAACATCCAGTCATAATGATCATCTTTCAGTAATTAATTGCACACCGTGACTGACTTCCCCGCTTTTATCACCAATTATCACCCTTCCTTTACTCAGTGGCCTTGCATAAATCATTTAAATGCATCATAAGTGTTCTCATCTGTGAAGTAAAGCAAGAAATATTCTATTTCAGAGGACAATGATTACTTAATTTAAATTATCATCAAAAATGATAGGTGGAGAGTGTGGAGGTAGGATTTCTAAGCAGGGCTGGTACCCACAAAATCAGACTGCGTGGCACAAACCATCACTTTCTGTCTTGACAGACAACATCTCCCCTAAGGATCTCCAAGGGTCAGAGATGTGAGGACTCACACCTTGGTAGAAAGCGCATCAGGATGTCCCCATCCCCAGTGGCCGCGGCTGCTCCTGCGGTATCATCAGCATAGGCACCAGCTCCAGGTATCGGTGAATCTCCGACTCGACTGTGTGAGGGCACAGCACAGTGATTTAGGACAGGAGACCAAGAGTGAATTCACACACTGTTTTATGGGAGGTTTCCACAATAGGGGATGTTTCTAATTCGCCACTCAGGATCGTTTTAAGTAAATTCTTCATCAGAACACACAGATCAAAGGTTTTCATTAGTTTTTCAGCTAAGGTTTCCATAACCCTAATTATGTAAGAATTGGATAGCAGTTGGTTATATATCAGGACGGCACAGATTTACAGTGACTGTTCAATTATTACTATCCTTTATCATCAGATTTCTGGATTATCTCAATAGGTTCAAACTGGTTTTCCTCATCTATAATCTACTCCTGCTTTCTATCTGATGTGCCAAAATTTTACCAAGGTTTTTCCTTGTAATAAACCTTCAGTGTTTTTCTGCTATTTTAAAACAAAATCCAGAAATCTTTAAAGTGACTCAGGACTCTCTGAAATCTGGCTCCGGTCCTCCTCCCAGGTACCCGACATTCATGCTATTTCTCTCCCCTCCAGGGGGAGCCCTGATCTCGAGCGTGTACTACTCAAGCTCCCTTCCCCTCCTGAGGCTCAGGCTCAGCCCCCAGGATCTCTCTGCTGGTCTCCCCAACTGCCTGCCCTGCTTACTCAGGCACCACTCCCATCCCTGAGCTCTGCAGCACTAGCTGTGACGCCCACTCCTGTGGCACTTAGCACGTACTAATTTATTTTCGTTCACATTTACTTATCTCAGCTGTGAGGGTAGGGTTGTGCTTTATGTTTTGCATCTCCCATTAGCACCTTGCACATATTGGTTTACACTCAATACATATTTGCGAGATCTGTTCTTTTCGAAACACTAACCCATGTATTTTGAATTTTATACCATTTGTAGATGTACCAGCAGCAGTACGCCCCATCTTATGGACTACAACCATGCCTAGAAGTTAAAAAAAAAAAATCATTGCATCAACTCTGAGGTTTACCTCAAGTATAAAGAAATAATTGAACTGTTGGTAATATAAATATCCTCATTCATTAATTTCAGGTAGAAGAAAATAGGAAGCTCAGGAATACTGAAACTTATACTGGCTGTGTCATTTGTACTGTTTCAGAACCCAGTGTCAGCATCATTTGGTAGACTTTCCATATCCTTACTCTTCAAGTTACTCAGTTACCTTTCAAAGGTAATTCCAAAAAAAATCACTGATATAGAATAAGGGAAATTTTCAACATTATAGCTCAGATATGGCAAACAACATAAAATTATTAAAGAACTAACTACACATCAAATAGGGGCACCTGACTGGCTCAGTCAGAAGAACATGTGACTCTTGATCCAAAGGTCCTGATTTCGAGCCCCATGTTGGGTAAAGAGATTACTTAAGTAAATGAATAAATAAAAACTACAAAAAAACCCAACCAAATATCAAATAAAGATTTAAATATCTACAAGTGGATAATCACTAGATTTTAGGAGCCCTGTATAAAGTAATTTACCAAAATGTAAATAGATGTGATGAAAAGAATGTGTGTGCACGCTTATTTAGCAGTTAAAACAGTTAAAATCACCATCTGGCACTGTAAATAGGGATAAAGAAGTTAAGAACTACAGGAAGGCAGTTAAAAATGGCCAAACTTTGGGGCACCTTAGGGGCTCAGTCAGGTAAGCCTCCAACTCTTGATTTCAGCTCAGGTCATGAGCCCAGGGTCGTGGGATCGAGACCTGCATTGGGCTCCGAGCTGAGTGTGGGGCCTGCTTAAAATTCTTTATCTCTATCCCTTTGCCTCCTCCCCAGCTCGTGGTCTCTCTCTCTAAAGTAAAATTTAAAAAAAAATGGCTGAACTTTAACCATAAAAGTTATATAAAAGGCAAATTACCAATTGTATCATGACTGTAATTATCTCCTGTTTCTTTATAGGTAGGACCATCTTGCTTTAAGATACTAGGTGGTTTGTAAGGTCCACAGTATTTTGAAGCATCTGGCACAACATTCTGCAAACAAGATTTAAGTTTTATTTTTTAGGAAAGTTCATTTTAGAAATTGGCAAGCAGTTCCATACAATGACTAAACATGAGCAAGAAACCAAAAGGATGTCTGGTAACAGAAAGCTATGAATTAAAAACCAAAGATTAGCTGAGTCTTATGTGAACAGATAGATATAATTCTATTTAATACCTAGTCTTATCTCAGAATTACATAACGTAGAATAATAGACATCTATGTCTGGAAACGATCCCTGATTTTTCTCTCTCTACGGCTAAAGTTCTCAGCACAGTGGCAGATACAAATGAAGATTTTTTTTTTTATTAGATCTTAATCCTCAAAGGAATCAGGTACACAGCCCTACCTTTAAATTTCAGAATCTGTTCCCTGGCCAATGAAGAATTCTGAGATTTAAAGGAAAATCTATTTTAAAAACCTTTATTTCTGGGGCTCCCGGCAGCTCAGACGGTTAATTAAGCATCTGACTCTTGATTCCAGCTTCGGTCACGATCTCATGGTCGTGAGATCAAGCCCTGCATCCAGCTCCATGCTGATAGTGTGGAGCTTGCTTAGGATTCTCTCTCTCTTTCTCTCTCTCAAATAAATAAATAAACTTTAAATAAAAAAAAAAAAACCAAAACCCTTCTTTATTTCAAAGCTACGTTTGTGTGAACATATTCTAAGTTGTACTTGTAGATTCCTCTGTGGATCACAAAGACACAAGAAAATAATCCAAATCCATTAATTTAGGTTGTATATGTGGATTAGTATTTGATCAAGAAACCTACTACCTATGTCTTACTCATTAGCACACTTAGTGCCTCCCCTGACCTGGTTTTATCCATTTGCCGCTTTTAGATGCTAACTAAGCCCAGAGACTCCTTAGTTACTCAAACGTAATTAGGATTTGGGGGAAAAAACAGATGAGACCAAGGCAGTCCACAGAAGGGTTCTGGATGGCAAAGAAAACCTGAGTTATGCTCAGAGTCCCAGTGATTTAAGGATAAATTATCCTGGTGGTAACACACTAGACACCAAATAGTATAGATCCAGTCAAATAAGGGTAAGATAAGGGGTATACTCCACACAGACAAAATGTAAGACATATTCTAGATGAATGATTTCCAAACTTTGATTTTTTTTAGACTTGGAACCTTCTGTCACAAGGAAATACAAGCAGAGCAGGTCTGACTGAGGATGCCCCCTCTTCCTGCGGCACATCCATCAGTTTGAAAGCTACTGCAAGGAACCAGGAGTTTTCCATCAGAGATGTGCATGAGAAGCAGCTAAGGAACGTTCATGAACATCCATGCCCACAGAGTCACCTTCAGTCATTGTTTCTAAAGTGCAGCCAGGGTGATAACCAGCACCTTAGGCAACAGAGGGCAGACAGGATGTCACTGAGTATTTTCTAATGATCTGCTTGTAAGAATTATGTCTACATACCCTCCAGTAATTTGGCTGGCAATTCCGAGAAAGCCAATCTGAATGAAGGGCTCGGGAAGTATTGGTAGATAAATCCTCACTGATAAAGCCCATACTCTCAGCAAACTTGGTGGCTGGAGATTAGGAAGAGAAGGAAAATGTACATTAGTTAAGCACGGTTTTCTAAACAAAACACATGTACGTGGAGTGTTCTCAGCGGTCTCTTAAGTGGGGTATACCATCCTGGGTCGCACAAAGACTTTCAGAGCAATATTCAGACGGGAACGGTGTTAAGGCAGTTTCAACTGATCTTCTTGAGACCCTGGGGTGCGTATGGTAACAGTTCTCTGTTCCACCCCCTTCACGATCCACCTTCCTGTACATCACAAAAGGGAAAGCACCCCGCTCACCGACACAGAATCTTACTGTTCTAACTAGGGCGCCATACCCAGTGTTGAGACCCCACACAAGGGGCCAACTGGATTCTATGCGTGAGTAACAAACAGACCTTTTTGTTTGTCAGGCAGTTTTTAATTCTGGATTTCCGCACAATTGAAGGACATCTACTGGAGTTACTAGCTAATACAACATTAAAAACCGTATTTTGGGGGGCACCTGGGTGGTGCAGTCAGTTAAGCATCCGACTTTGGCTCAGGTCATGATCTCACAGTCCATGAGTTCGAGCCCCATGCCCAGCTCTGTGCTGACAGCTCAGGGCTGGAGCCTGCTTTGGATTCTGTGTCTCCCTCTCTCTCTGCTCCTCCCTCCCCCCCCCAAAATAAACATTAAAAAAATATATTAAAAAAAGTATTTTGGTGGTGCCTGGGTGGCTCAGTTGGTTAAGCATCTGACTCTTGATTTCAGCTCAAGTCATGATCTCACAGTGAATGAGTTTGAGCCCCACATCGGGCTCTGTGCTGACAGCGTGGAACCTTCTTTGGATTCTGTCTCCCTTTCTCTCTGCCCCTCCCCTACTTGCTCTCTATATCTCATCAAAATAAATAAAAATAAACTTTAAAAAATGTTTAAAAAATTTTTTAAAGTGTATTTGATTATAGATCATGGTATGATTTTTGGCATATAACTTGGAAGACATTCAAGCAAGGGACAAAAATACACTGTTGCCCATCTTTTGATGTTAAGAATGCTCTGCGCTCTGTGCAACTAGTTTAGGAGGAGAAATGATGTTGACTCATATTTCCATCCAGCAATTATCTCCCCATACATAATGAACTAATTTTTAAAACCCTATTTTACAGATGAAGAAAGTGTGAATTTAGAAGTAACTTATCTGATGGTAAATAGATGTTAAGCAAAACAGCTAGAATTTGACCTTGCGTTGGCTTTTATCTACTATTTTATATTTTCACAGTGAGGAATATAGACAAAGGACTAGATGAAGTTCCAGTGTAGCTAAAATATACCTGACTCTCCCACTAAAAGCGTGTGTGCTGTATGTTCCAGAACTTTCCGTGCCACACCAATAGCGTTTTTAATTCGTCTGAGACCTCCCACTGCTCCTACGTTCATTGTAGTGCTGCAAGAAAAGAAGCACAGTAAGATTTGTTAAGGTACTTTCTCAGGTTCACAGATAAAAACTACATTGATTTACTCCAAGCAATAGCTTTGTAGGATAAACTCCACTGTCTTAACGTAAAGATGATACCACATCCATGAAGTGCATACAAATTCCCATGATCAGATAAATTAAGGAATAGCAAATCAACCTACAGCATACTCCAACAGCACCACAATTCAAAGTTCCTCCTAGCTTTTTTGTTGTTACTTTTGAGATAGCGGAAGCGGGGGAGGGGCAGAGAGCGAGGGGGACAGAGGATCCAAAGCGGGATCTGCACTGACAGCCCCAAGTCCCATGTGGGGCTTGAACTCACAAACTGCGAGATTATGACCTGAGCCAAAGTGAGACACTCAACTGACTGAGCCGCTCAGGTGCGCCCCCCTCCCCCCACTACCTGACTTTTAAACATGGCTTCTAAAGAGTTTTAAGGCTTCAGGTCATGCAAACCACACCGTACATAGAAGTCAGTTAAGTGATTGTTTACCACGTCTAGAGACGTATTTCTGTAGTGTGGGATTCTATGTGTTCTAAGGAGACTACTGCATCCATGTGAAATTTCTATTATTCTAATGACTTTCTCTTAACTTGTGTTTGGAAAGGCTGGGCACCATAAGCTAGGGGTTCTGACCTGATGAAACTTACGTATTCGTCCGTCTTGCTCTCAGTAGAAGCAAGTAGATCAGTAGAAGACTGATCAGTGTGACTCAACATGGGGTGAAGATTTCTTACCCGTCCATGATCATGGCATCCAGTGTGGTCTCTCCAAGTTCATCAGGACTCCCTCCAAAGCCCACGGTACCGTCACACTGTTCCCTCTCACACACAGCACAGCCCTGCTCAACTGCATCCAAGGGAGAGCCTCCAGATGCTAACGTCCTCCACGCTGTTAATCAAATCCCAGAAGTGCTGGTTTATATATTGATTTTTTTTTCCAATGCCAAATGCAACAAACCAGAAATGTTTTGAGCACTCATCTAAAAAAATATTTTCATGTTTACCCTTAAACAGAATTTTACTTTATTAAGTAAATGAGTGATACAGACAAATTGTATAATGCAACTATTTACTGTGAAGAATTTAAACACTATTGATGTAAAGTGAGGGTTTTTTATTTTTTACCTACTAATATTTCTATGCTGTGTAAGAAATGTCTTCTCTCCTTCAATTTTATAATTGAAGCCACTAAAAGGCAGTTAAATTGAAAGTTCATTAAATCACGGGCTTATAAATTTCTTCTGTATCATTAGATTATTAAAAATATACACAACGAGGACTTTTATTAAGGTAACATCAATCATGGCAAGTCTCAATAACCACTTCCTAACAGCAAATAATTACAATGTGGGCTTCACAGCGTTTAATCCATTTAATCTGCACAATAGCTTTTCAGGTAAGTACTGTCCAATTAGTCTCCTCATTTTAAGTTGGAGCAAACAGACCCAGACAGGTTAAGGAACTTGTTCAAGGTCACACAACTGGAACAGGATTCAAAAGCCATTTGGGCACCGCTTTGTTCTCTGGAGCCCCGTACCTTGGCAAGGGGTGGAAAGATCTTTGGTGGTCAATGTCTTACTAATAAAAACAGAACTCTTTGAAGGGAAGGTGCTACTATGGGTCATTTTTAAGCATTAGCTACTGGACCTACAGAATTGAAAGTGTATTTCAAGAAGTTCCCCCTTTCACTACAGAGAACCTTTATATGTCCCCTGCGCTGGCCACTGCACTTTTTCTCTCATAATGGCTTCAAGGCCGGGAATTTCTTTCTCACAGGCTGTTTCCGCCTTTTCTGAATCAGATGCACTGCCTCTAACACCCAAACTTATGTCCGCCAAGCTCTGGAGCCACTTCTGCCCCAGTGAGTTGTACCAGCAGCCTCAGACGGAGGGGGGAAAGGAGTCGGAAATTACTCTTGGGGTAGTAGGTCTTGGAATGAATGAGACAAACATATGCAATCCAATGAATAAATGACAAGTTCATGGCATGGACAGGATTGAATGAAAGCACAGTAGATAGGCACCTCACGCAGACTGGGCATTAAGAGCAATAAATCGCGAAAGAGGTGATAGTTTAGTGGTTCTCCATCTTAGCTGCAAATCAAAATCACTTAGAAAGCTTTAAAGGAAACAAAATAAATGTCTTGTTGCCAGCAGTTAAATCAAAATCTCAGGAGGTAGGGTTCAGGCACGGGAAGTTCCACAGATGATTTTAATGGCCAACCAAGATTGAAACTCTACGGCAGGTGGCAAATACAGAATGTCAGCACAGAACACCAGAAAGTAAATGTAAAAAGGGTCTGTATGGGAAATTAATAGCCGTTTGCAAAGCTGCACTTGAGCTCATGGTATTGGGGAGATCCGAGGGGCTAGAAAGGTGAAGTAGAACAGTAGACAAGAGACAGCCCCCCCCCCCCCCCCCCCGTGACAGCACTATGGATGTCAGGCAAGACCGCGTAGGCGACCGTGGAGGAGTCCCAGCAGAAAGGCCCTAACTGCTGCGGGTCAGGCAGCAGCAGGGCGGAAAGCATGGGGGCGCGGGGCTGAACAGGGGCGGAATGCGAAGTGGGGACGTAAAAAGCGGCTGCGGGCAGGGAGGACTCCGTAAGGGTCCAGTGCAAGAGGCGCAGCGGTGCAGGAGGTGCAGGAAGGCCCGGAGGTGAGGCTCCGGTCCCCGCCCAGGGGTCAGCCCGCCGGCCGCAGCCCCCGCCCCCGGCCGCCGCCGCGCACCTGCTTCGGTCGCGTTCCTAAAGGGCCAAGTGTTGAGGACCAGGGGCAGAGGGCTGGAACTGCGCGCGAGGCCTGGGCCGAGCAGGAGCGGCACTAGGAGCAGAGGAAGGCTCCATTTCCGCGCCATGGCCGCGCGCCCGGCGGAGAGAGGCCCGCGCGGCCGCTGAGCCCGCGGGGCCGCGCTCGCGGAACTCGTGATCGGCCGCGCCCCGCGCCCCGCCTCCCGCCGCCGGACTCGGCGGCTCCCTCGAGGGCGCGGTCAGGGCTCCCTCTGGTCTCGCGAGATTGGCCGCCGCGGGACCGCCGAAGCCGCGGAAGCCGCGGCACCCCCGGAGGTTCCTGGCCTGGGGGCGCTGTGGCTGGGTGCTCGGGGACCCTTCAGGTCCTCCGGGGTTTGTGTTTTCTTCGAGTTGACCGAATGATTGCCGTCCCCGTTGGTAAAGGCAGACTGAGTCCTGTGTTGAGAAATCAGTATGAAATTTACGCAGTCCGCGGTTGCGTGGCCGTGGGAACATTTTCATTGGCTTTAACCTTATTCTTTACATTAAAAGCTGAAGTCGACAAATTTCCAAATTCAAAATGTACTCCAGGATCCCTGGCCTCAGAGATCTGCGGAGGCTATGGCGTAGGGGTGAATCACGCTTGCTGAGAACCACAGCTCTTTGCAGGATGTGCTGTCATGATAAGTCGCTGAGCCTGAAGAAGCGGAGACGAGGGTTCACCGAAGTGCACCCTCCCCGGGGTTCAGGGCAAGAAGGGCTCCCGTTTCTAGTGTCTTCCACCTTGTGCCTGACACCTTTAAGTGCTAAATGCACGTTTGAATAAAGGTGGAATGGAGACTTGCCATTGTTAAAAGAGAAACTGAAAATAGTAAAGATTTTGAAAACTATTTTTAAGTAGACGTGCTATAAAATGTATTGTTGAAAAGTTCATTGGTAAAGTTTTACTTACATCTTTTTAATAGGGGAGGCTTGGGGGATTGATAAAAGGGATAGGTGGCCTTTGAATTGTTTCTGGAGCCGCATTTCTTGTCAAGACTTAATTTGTAAGACAGGTACAGCTGTATTTAATTCCTCAAAGACTTGGGTTGCATCCCGAATGAAGTCACTTGGCTGACCCACGCATTCAAATCTATTACGGCCACTTTGCATGTTTATATCAGGGAGAATATTTTCGGTTGAGATGGAAATCAAAGCATTCCTGTCTTCTAGCTTTAGAGCTGTGTGTCTTTGCAATGGTTTAGTAAATCCTTCTACAAGGGCTTCATAATGTTTTTTCTTTCCCTTTGGGTACGTAGCTTCATTTTAGCTTAGGGGACAAGGCCTTAAAAAGTTATTTTTTTTTCAGTTTATTTATTTATTTTGTGAGAAAGAGAAGGCTTGCAGGCACTTGCAAGCATGAGCAGGGGAGGGGCTGAGAGAGAGGAAGGGGCTCAGCACAGAGCCCAAAGCAGGGTGCACACCCAGGAACCGAACCGTGAGATGGTGACCTGAGCCAAGACCGAGAGTCGGACGCTTTACCTACTGAGCCACCCAGGCGCCCCACCTAAAAAAGTTTTTATCAAACTCTATCAATTTCCAATTTGGCCACCTTCTGACATTAAAAAGCATCCTTTTGAATATCTTGTCAGGCTTCAGGTGAGACAAATAGTAAATGCTCCCTGAAGATATGGAACAACCCTTTGCATTTAAGAGGCGTCCTCAGAGAAGGTTTAAAAGTTCCTACCCTACCAAGAGCAGAGCCACTCTCAAAGATAACCGGAAGAAATAAAGACAATTTTCCTGAGGGCCGACAGCAATCAGTAGCACCACAGGCACAAATGGAGTGCAACCCCCATTTCTGCATGGCCATATTTCTGGGCGCCCAATCCTGACAGGTGCCAAGCCAAGTTCTCCAGACACAAAATGAGACAAAGAAGAATGCAACAGCTGTCCCTGGGAGAGAAAGGATTGACAGCCAGAGGGCACCTAAAAGCAAATTCATGTGTCGCAATTCAAAGATCTAATTCTTCAAATGTTTTTTGCCTGCCAATCCGAATTTGGAAAGGAAGGGACAGAGTGGACTTTTACCTTCCTCTCTCAACCGGACACCCCAGACGGAGATCTGGGAGAGCTGACCCTGGTAAGAATTCTTGCCATTTGCCAGCTTCTGCCAGTTTTCCCGGGATCCTGTGTGTAGGCTGCAGAGGGAGTGGGGTGTCCTACAAGTCTCCTGGTCCCCAGAAACTGTAGAGGAGGAAAAATAATTTTCCTCCCCGCCTTATGGTAGTGTTTCACCAAGACCCCTTTTATTCTAGGGCACTTCCTAAAATGGGTAAGTTTATCTAAAGTGATTTAAAGTTCTCCATGGTGGCCACTGTAATTCAAGATTAGTTTTGGTAAGTTTAACCTGCTTGTTGAGACTTAAAATTTTACTCACCCTCACCTCACGCTGGACCTGGTCCAGCTTATGCCAGACCCACGGCACTCCGGCCAGTTTAGGACCTGGCTCAGTTTCCGACTCAGACCCGGTCCGGTTTCACAGGAGCACCTGGCCCCGTTTCCGAGTCGGACCCGGCCCAGTTTCTAAGGAGCACCCGTCCTGGTTTTTAAGCCAGAACCCATCTAGCTTCTAGGTCAGACCTGAGCGGGAAAAACAAACCAGCAGATGAAGTCTGAAAGCTCCTAATGCAAATGCTGCCAATCCCAGCAGGACCCAGCCAGCACCCCCAGAGGCAAAGGGAAAGCAGCGAGCTCCCAGCTCCCGGGACTCACAGGTACCTTCACCTGGTTGCTTGTTGCTCCCTGGGTTCTCTCTTCCCGCCCCAGAACTGTTAAGACAGAAGCAGGCCTACTGACAAATTCAAGAGTTCCTTTGAGCAAAATGGATTCAAATCGGGCAGCATCCAATCTAGCAGATAGAAGGGAGCTCCACGGAGCTGCACAAAATGAAAGACTTCTATAGGGAGAGCGAGACGGAAACAAGGAAGTTACAGTAGTCCAAACAGTGGGTTAATTCCTACAAGGTTACTACTTTCTTTTTGGGGGTTGGCTGGGGACCATCAGGCAGATTACCTGCTCATCATGAGATTCCTGATTGACTGGTTTAAGGTTCTGTTTCTGGGAGAGCCAAAACTGTAAGTAAGTCTTGTCTTGGTGACTAGGCCTTAGCATAAACAACTCCATTTTTAGATCCGTTGCCTTGTTTTAGCAACATGCATGGCAGACGTTGCTTATTTTTGATAGTGTGGTTGTCTGGGCCCTATGCGCCAACACGAACCCATAATCCCTTTGGGGCTCTGGAGTACCTGATCCTGTTGCCACAGGAAGCCCCGTGATCAAATGCTTTTGACAAACATTTTTACAAATTTCTCCATACTTTTAAAATATTCACTTAGTGGGAGTTGTGAAGTTTCCAAATCTTCAAGGCTTCATTGCTGTGAAATAAGACACAATTTAAACAGCCCAAAATAGCCTGGAAGAATTATTGCAAGGCAGGGAAGTGCTGTTAATTAAAGGTAGGTGCAATTGAGGAGAACTGATGTAAACTTCTGTGGGATTTTGGGGGGGGGG